CCCACCGTCGTTGCCGCTGCTACAGAGCGGGTCCCGTCAGTTCTGCGATCTGTTCGGCTGGGGTTTATCGGGGGGAAATTCCACCCAGCCTGTTGTCCCTGCCTGCTACACCAACAGCGACGCTTGTTTTCCTGAAGCCAGGAGAGGGGAATTAAAGTGCTAAAAATAACCCAGTAGGTAGCAGAAGTAAAACCAAGTTACCCCAAACACATACTGACAGGGTATGTAAATCGCTATTGATTTGTAGGAGCAGGCTGCCGCCCAGCTCTCTTTAGTTGCAGAAATATTAATCACTGCCAAGTCCCACTGACTGAAAACAGCACTTGGGCTCTTTCCGGGCTGAAAAACCTGCATCTGGGAATTTCCCCAGCCGCTTCGCCTCTGAGTACAAGTGACGGCTCATCACGACGTCAGCTTCCTGAAACAGTTCCCAAGAAACCCACATCTTCTGGGCTTTGCCAGGAAAGAAACAAGAGCTTGGTACTTGCGCCAGCCCACCCAGACCCCTCTGGGCTTGCTGCACGCGCAGCAGAAGCGCGAATGCAATGCAGGAAGGGGCACACACACATCCGAATGGCATCCCAGCTGGAAAACCAACCTCGCACCTTCCGGGCACGGCCAAGTCTTGTCGGTTGCCTGAGCCTCACTTGCGAAGCACAGCTGAAGCTACATTGAATCGCTCAAGTGTCTTTTTAAAATACTCTAAAAATAATAATTACAGAGGGCACTTGGAATCACAGAAGCAAAGTGTCTTCATCCAGCAGAATGGTTTTGGGCTAAGAAAGTCGGTTTTGTCACTGAAATTCCAATGTAAATAACAATTAAGTTCTACTTGATATACAAATGTCAAGTAATTTTTTTTTTTTTGCCATCCTGATTTGCATTTAAACTTGGAAATGTCAGAGACTTCAGCCTTGCTGCATTAGCAGGAAGCTTCCCCAGTTCACCCTGCTGACTGGAATACCCACTGCAGATTATCTGGCACATTATCAAGTAACCAAACATCATTTCAAGGAAACATCAAGGTCGATGCCTTGTGAGGTGTACTTGTTAATTTATGTTGATGAACTGAAGCGCTCAAAAGACTGTTGTAATAATATTTCAGTATATTTATATCAGCATATTTTATCAATTAGAGCCATTCAACAAGAAGTTTAATAAAAAAAAAGCAATTTTAGAGACCTTTAAAAGCTTTCTCATAGCTCCACTAACACCACAAGAATGGCGTCGCAAGAGGGTTCCTCCTCCTCCCCCCACAACCAAAGCACCACCCGACCGGCGCACTGCCGTAAACGTGGGACCTTCTGCATGAGATGGAGACGAAGACACCCAGAAGCGGCAGGCACGTCTCAAAACCAGCTCCTCCTCTTCAGCCACCTCCTGCGCCAGGTCACCAAGCCCAGCCGCTCCGATGCCAGCCGCCCGGCCACAAGCCCATGCCAGCACCCCCCGGTCGCCCGCAGCCCCGACAGCCGCCCGGCCACGCAGAGCCCGCCCGCAGCGACCCAGCAGTTCCCAGATCCCACTACACACCACCTTGCTAGGAAACTCCAGAAGGGTCAGTGGTGCAATTCATTTTCATTAATTTTCTAAGATGAAATTAGTGGCACCCACAGCAGCAAACAAAGAGCAGGGAGTGTTCCAGTTCAGCGCCAGATCAATGTCATTAATTCTGTAATACCGAGAGCTCTGGTTGTATGAACTCAGCAGTTCACTCTCCCAATTAATTTTTATACTTAAAAAAAAAGAAAGAAAACTAACTCAATGATTCACGAAGGTCCTTGAGCAGCCATCACAACTTTCCTTCTCCTGGGACGTTCTTTCTTTCAAGTGTAAACACACAGGAGGAAGGTATTGTAATATTAATCAGAAAATTATTTTCATGCATTGCCTTTAGCAAACCAAACTCTTAAAATTGTAAGACACTGCTACACAAACATGTATAATCTCGTATCTTTAATGACGCCAAGTATGCCCAGACTAGTTCATATGTTTTCTGACCACTTAATAGTCTTATCTGGCAAATGTTCCACAAGAAATTATTTTGCCTTCATTCTGAAACGTGGATTACCAGGTCAGAAAAAAGCCTTCTCTAATATTATCAAATTACCTGCTGTCCTGCAGCCGGGAAGGGGAGTGAAACAAAGCAGTTATGCATTCACCAAGGTGAGACTCTCGGCTGCTGTCAGCGGGAAAGGTCCATCTAAGGGCCACCACAGCAGTTCTGGGTCCGGGAGGACCACTTGAGAAAGCAATCGGGTCTCAAATGTCTCCCTTTCCAGGTATTGCAGACACATTTTCATACAACAAGCAAACGCATTACTTAGAGATGCCCCCAAAAAAAGACAGAAGAAACTGGGGAAAAAACCCAGCAATCCTAAGATTACATAGCTCTTGCCTCCCCGTATTCCACGGGAAGCAGGTCCTCTCTGCTCCCTCCTCCGCCTCCACCCTCTCCCCGGTTGGGAGCTCTGAAACACCCGGGGAATTAGTCTGTCCTGTCTGGCAGGGCCGATACCTGCCCTTCTGTCTCACTAGAACTTCTGCCCCTGCTAATTACGGAGGGGGTGATGCCAAACGCCGCAGCAAGCTGCTCGGGACACCGCCGGCACCAGCTCTCTGCGGCGGAGGGCCACGGGATGCAGGATGCTAGAAAAGGCTTTTCTCCCACCTTGGTCCCAGCAGGCTCCCTCCAACAAACCTGCCCTTTTCAATAGGAAAGAGTTGGATCAGGAAAAAGGAAAAAGGAAAAAAGCCTGCAACACTAGAAAGCAAGAGATGGTTTTTGTGTTAGTGAGATGCACGGAAACTTTGCGAGCCTGAACATGGCAGGAACCGGCAGGAAAACATCAGCAGCAGAAACTTCAGGTATCGGTTCCCAGGGGAGCAGAGGAGTTAAACATTTATGGCAGCGCAAAGAAGACATGACATTTACTGAATAATAAACTGCAAACATGTCTGTTAATGCGGCTTTTTGGGATCTCCTCACCATCAAACACTTAACCCCAGCAAGCAAAACACCAAAACGCAAACAATCCCAGCGCCTGCATGTTAAACAGGCAGAGCACAGGGGAGGGCTCCGCGCTTTGTTATTTATTTAGAGCTGGAGGCTGTAGGGAGCACTGTCAAGATAAATAGCCCGCAACCTTGCTCAGAGGCTTTCAAACCCATTCATCTGAAGGGACACAATTAAATCCTGAACAATCAGGTTAAAACTTTAACCTGTCAAGATTGCAGCTGTTCCATTTTTAATCAACCTGATTTCATTCAATAAAATGCTCATTAAGTCAATTAATGAGAGTTTGGTGTCACAAGCCATCAGGCACGACTGGGAGTTTTCACTCGGTGGCCAACGCATTGATTAGCGAGTCAAGTCATCAGCGAGAATGAGTCAGTGTGCTGAAGCGTGAGCAACGTTACCTTGTTTTAGGGGAAGTTGTTAGCCATTCTTCATGCTTTTCAAACGTTATTAAATAAGCTGCAATTTCCTGAAAGAGAAACGCAGAAAGAAAAAAAGGTTATTTGCATGGCTGTGTTGGAACCTGGAAAGTTTTATAACAGAAGTTTCGTAACAGAGACGAGGAGCCGCCAGCCCTGGGTTAGGTCTGCGGCTTCAGTCGGGCTTTGACTGAGATAGCGTGCTCGGTCAGTGTTTGTATTCACGCCGCCGAAGCCAGACTTAAACAACATAATGAAGAGATGCAAATGAGGAAAGGCATTCACGTTTTCCAGCACAGACGGTTTGCTGGTAACTTTGGTGACCGCAGCATCGCCGAGAGCCTTGGCGTTATGTCAGGAGGCAAAGGGGAGGGCAGTGACAACACGGACATGGGAAGCTAAATTAAATATTTATAAATAGAACAGCATTACTGCAGAGAGAATTACTGAATTATTAATCGTTGCCATAAAAAGCCAGCGGGTGACATCAACATAAGTCATCGCTCCCACTTGCAGGAATGATACGGGCGATTACTTCCAGATCAGAACCGATTTGTTCGCAGGAAATTATTGGCGCTGGCGAGATAATTCACGACGGTGGTTGTACAAGCGCCTGACGGACGTGGGACGGCCGCCCATGGATGTCCTTGGGACAAACCCGGAGCAGCTGCGGGGCGGCCCCGCCGCCGACCGGGCGCCACCACACCAGCAACGTCCCAACACCTAGAGATGGCCAAGGAGCCCAGCGTGCAGTCCACAGGCTGCTGGGAACCAGCTCCACCCCCCCACCCCCAAGATATACTCAGAAATATGTAGGTTTTTTGATGTTTCTCTTCCAAAAATCTCCTCCCAGCCAGGTCCAGAGTTTCCCTTCTCAGAGACCTGCAATAGCAAAAGCTATGCAGAACGGCGAGTGAAGCTGCCTTGAATGTTCAACTGCCTCAAATTAGACCCAAAACCCACGCGCAGTTTAATCTCCAGAGCTGCTGCAGAAGAAGTGTCGGCGGGCTGCACCATCACGGAGGTACCGCACACACAAGAAACAGGTCTTTCGACCAAGAGATGAATTTTTTCCTTTTTTTTTTTTTAAGATAGTTCTATATAAGGTTGTAGCTGTATCGTACCAAAGCTAAAAAAATCCACAATGCTCTCCAACCAGCTGGCCCAAGCATCTGCTAGAGCCACAAAATGCAATTATATTACTCCCAAACGAGACGTAAAAATATCTTGTTTCCAATACTCTTGGTTTTAAGACTCATACTTAATGTCCTCTGGGTATTGCAGCGGTGCCAGATCTCCGTGTTATGTACTTTATTAGAGTTGTGTGAATGTCATATTAATGACTCCTAACCAACATGTTTACACTGCAAATAAATTCTCCCAGAATCCACCACCGCACCCCTTGTTTCCCAGGCCCGACTCCGCATTTTTAAACATTTACCGTAGCAGCAGACGATGGGAGCAGCCCCACTTCTATGTGAGCCAGGAGGAGGAGCAGCGATACGAAGCTCCGAAAACATCTCTTTTCAATTTCTGGCTAATTGCCACATAAAATTCAATATCAAAATAACCCGGTGCAGCCCTCCACCGGGACGCTGGTCGCTGGCACAGCATCTACGCTCGTGACCTTCCCAGAGAACATGCCAAACCTTGCACTGTTACAGGAGCCGCAGTTGAATCAGATGCACAAGTGCTAAAATTCAGGCACTGCACGGCCAAAAAGGCCCAGTCCCAGCTTTCCGTTGGGCTCTGAAGAGGCATCGCCCATCGCTCGCTGCCAGAGCCACCGATGCAGCATTAACTCACGGCTTTGATGCAGGGTAGGACCCAGCCACTGATTTCATGTATATAGATTTAAGAAAAAAAAAAAAGAAGAAAAAAGAAAAAAAACCCAAGACCTCTGCAACTAAAATTCTTCAAAAAATATGAACCAAGAGCTCTGCTGTTTTTGTTTAAAAGCCAATACAGTATTTCCACCATGTGCGCTGTGGTCTGCAGAATTTTATTCCCAACCCATCCCGCGTTATTGCCCTCGACTCGCTACGTCACAAATCTGCGTCATCTCGCAGGAGCTCTGGAGACACCAAGGTCCAAGCACCAGCGGGTGCTGGGCAGGGAGCTCTGTACTTCATCTCCATCGTCACCCAGGCCCCCCGGACGCTCCCGGCAGATGGTCTGCAGGGGCCGGCACTTGCAGAAACAAAGCTCTTCAATGCAGGCATGGAGCCGGTGGATTCACCCTCAAACTCCTGCAAGAACAGGCAGGTTTGGTGGGCTTCACATTAGCACCGGATTTTGCCTATTCCTACCAAAATCCAACTTGCCGTAAGGAGAATAAAGCAATTTTTAACTTTCGTGGCTCAATAAACAATATTGCTACGGCACAGAGAACCAAAGTGTTTCCGGTAACCGAACGTGAGCCTTACCCAAGGCTTGCTTTCTCCGCTCCTTGGAGCTGGCCTACGCCCTGCACGCTGGGAACCGTCCTCCCCACGCTGTCACGACGGGAGGAGCTGCGGCCGCGTTCGGAGCGCTGCTGTCCTGGGCCTGCTCAGCAGATCTGGGCAGGCCAGAGAAGGAGCTGCAGGTCGATGCCGCGGCCACGCCGGCGACCCGCCGCAGCACACGCAGGTACCGAGATGCCCGGGCTGCTGCGGCCGCACAGAAAGCCACAGCCCCAGCCGAGCTGGATCTTCAGACAACTCAAAACGTATAATTCAATTCTTCTAACAGGATAAAAGAAGGATCCTCATCAACTAGGATACGAGCTCCCCCAGGCTTTCTGCGTAATGATATATTACAGCCTGATTTCCCTCCTCCAGAGGAAATACCTTGGGTAACAAGGAAAATCTCGCTCACGGCAGCACTGTAAATTAACACGTACAGCAAAGAGACAGCAAATCCTCCACGCTGCCTTTTGTGCCCAGAGTACTCAGAATCACAAGGACTGGCGTGCAAACAGCGCAAAAACACCCTGAAACCCTCCTGCCTCGCCTGCCTGCCCTGCCCGCGCCTGCCTGCGACCCGTTGCCCAGAGCACCGCGTCCTTCCCCGGGACTTTCGGCATCACCAGCGCTCTCGGGGACCCCACGCCGCGCTGTGCCGGGGAGCGGCGAGCAGAGGCCCCATCTGCGGTCTGACACCGAGGTGCCGGCTCCTGGCACCGCACAGCAGCGGCTCTGGGAGAACAACCTCTCGTCTGCCGCCTCAGACCGGAGCGGCACGGCCAGGCGACGCGGCGATGCTCGCCGTGAACACTCGCACGCGCACAGAGCCAGGTGGAGAGGTGAGTGTCGGTGAAAGGCACATCACGGGCACCGGGCTGAGCCCCAAACCGGCGCTGCACGGCAAGACGCCAGATTTCTCAGGGAAACACATAGGAGAGCTACGAGCACCAGGCACAAGAAATTGAGGAGCTCAGCGGCAAGACGCCTCGGGCCAGCACCCACAGCCTGGACAGAGAAAGCCTGTCCCATGGATGGGATGCTCAGGACCAGCGTGGGGAGGATGTGCTGGGGAAGGCTCCTCTGCTGTCAGCAGCAAACCCCCTCTAAATCCCATTCTTTACATGTTCTGCTTTCTGTAACTATACAATTTTGTGTCCATCACCCAGGGAAGTCCCAGCAAACCGCGGAAGCCAGGGTTGGCAGCAAACAGATGGGCACTGCACGCGCGGTGGATGCTCCGAGGTCGCAGGCAGGAGCAGAAGGAGATGCTTTTTGTGGAAAAGATGATGCAGGCGGCATGCACACACAAATCCGCAGCCAAGCAGCTCCTCCAAGCAAAGCCCAAACCAAGCTAAGGGCAAGCCCAAGCAGCTCAAATTATAAAAAAGCATTATTTTTTCAAATGTGTCAGTGTGGGGAGGAAAACACTGCCTGTGAGACGCAAAACACAAGGATGCGGTTTTTGAGAAGCCCTGAAGCCACAGGCATCACAGCAGAGCTGCAGCCGGGAGCAGTCAGCGCTGCAAACACCCACCGTCAAAGCCCACCCCGAGCAGCCCAAGCGTGGGCATTTTCCTCCCAAGCACCATGTCTCACGCACCTTCGTGTAATAAATTAACTCCTACAGAGTTTTTGCTACACTCATTGGGAAAAAACAAAGCTGAAAGGCCCAGAGAAAGCGGCCAGACTAACGCTGACAGTCTATCAACAGTTTGCAAGAGATGCTTCTCGGACACGCGTGCCTGCTGGCGCGGCGGGCTCAGGCGGGGCAGCTAACCAAAAGCCAGGCGGTCCTCCTCAGCTGCTCGGGGCCTGCGCCCTGTCACACCAACGCCATTTGTCCTTTAAAGAAAGGGGGAAGAAACAGATTTATCACTAGAAGACACAAAGTCATTAAACAATTGAAAACAAAACTATAGGCACAATAAAAGCCCTCTGATAAAAAAAAAACCCTTGCAATTTTTAATGTGCGTTAATTCCCCTAATGATTCACTCTGTGTGTCTTACAGGGTCAAATCAATGTCTTCGTCAAAAAATTCAATTACATCCCATTCATCGTCTCTTTGGAGCGGGGCTATTGTCTGCTTTTGTTTCCTCTCAAACCCTTTCTGGGCTGCTTCTTGCCCAAGACTACAAACAAAAGGCAGCGCGGCCCCAGCAAGGTCAGACAAGACAGAGCCAGGCTTGGGAAGCCCAGCTCCCCGTCCCCAGCTTCACTGTTTAATTACGAAGCGAGCGACGGAAATGGAAGGCCGCACGCCGCGAGCGCCCAG